GGGGGGAATTTGCAACAGAAATAATAAGTTTCTCAGTGGCCGCCTGATTAATTAAAAATGAAGTACGCGCCGTGCGTTGGCACAGTCCTAAGCAATGATCTGGAGCAATCCTAAGCCATAATAGTTAATAATTTTATTATTTTTTTTTTCCCCCCCTTTCCTAGAAAATTCAAAATACCTAAGTATTGCCTTGGTAAACGGGCATAGAGCCCTCAGCCTTGCAGAGCGTTGGCTGCTTAATGAACGTTTGTAAAGGGATTTTCATTCCCAGTGCCTGTCAGCGGGAGCAGCCAGAGCTCAGGGAGGCAGGTCACCCCCTCCTCTTCTTTCGCAAAGAAAGAGAAGGAGCAGAATTACTTGAGCAGCACGGCTGTGCTGATGGAGTGCACAGGATGACATTCCCCGCTGGTAGAGTTGGTGAGGTGAAGCGTGCCGCTGGAGTTCATGATTTTCAGCCTGAAACTCGAGAAACAGATCAGAAAAACACGCGGCAGCCTCTCCGCGAGCAATGGGAAAAGGTCCCCTCGGGACTTTTTAATGCCCCATAATGGACCCCAGGGGGCTGGGTTTCATTTTTGGGATTTATTTTCAGTCTAGCGTATCGATATCTTTATTTCAGTTATGGATGCTATTTATAGAGCGTGCCTTTGAACCGGTGCGTTTTTATTTACTGATTTCCTCCTCGCATTGCGTGTTTGTAATGGGTTGCATGCTGAGGTATTTCAGCGGCGCTGCTATTGTTTAACTTATGGAGATGTGCATTTTGGGGCAAATTAAATACATGCAGGTAACTGTGGCTGTGCATTTTGATACCACCTCTGGCGAGGAGATCTTTAAAGGCATAAAACATTTTCAGACATACGTATAATGCTAAACCGCACTTGGTGAGAAGAAAAAATAGAAAAAAAATCTTCATCATTTTCTGCATTTTCGAAGGTGAAACAATCATAAAGCCACAGCTGAAGTTATAAAGCAAATTCAGAGTTTGAAATATGTCCTGCATCAAGGGGTAAAACACTTCCCATGCAGATGCTCAGGTTTGCAGGTGTTCTGCCATCCATCCTGGACGGATGAATCAGAATATGGGACGGTACAAACAGCATAAGGCTCTGTCTGAAAAAAAGTTATGTGCGAATTCCTGCCTTTAGTTCTTATTAATAGGCCACCTGAGATCACCAAGACGATTTACAGTGCATAAAGTTAAGCAGATGTCCAAGTCTTTGCAGTACCAGGATCTACATTGACATGTTTGTAAGTAATAGATACAGAATAATCCTGTGTGGCAGAAAACCATGGTTTGAGGGCTGCACGTGTCTTTAATTTATAAAGATTAAAGACGTTGAAAAAATGCTTTGGACTTTTATATACTTATGAAATAATTGAAAAATAATTTAAAAATTAAAAATAATTTTTAAATTAAAAAGGACTTTTTTTTAAAAGTGCTTAACAGTAAAGACACTGGTTCTTCAAAAGTTATCCATGTACCTTCACAAATGGAGATAGAAATATCAACTGATAAGGATAACTATTGAAAAATAAAATAAATGCTTGTGTCATAGCCAGGCAAAGCACATATAAATACGTGACTTCCTATGGCTAATAATTACAAAAAGATAAAAGCTAATCAGCCAGATCTTTTAGATTTTTAGGATAGTAATTATGTAATACTGTCTTTGCTCTCATTCTGATGGTCATCTACTGAGGTTAAATGAATACCTAACACTGTCTGCCACTAGACCTGTTCTTCTTTTGAAACTGTATCTGGAGAGTGTGCTGAACACTGAATACACTTGTATACTGAAAAGAAATATGAATATTTTAAGATAGGAAATGATATATTCAGTTATAATAAACATGTTATAAGCAAGAGTAGTTTATAAAAGGTATCAAGAGAATCCACTTCGTAGTTCTGTAATTACTGTAATTGATTGTGCGATATTTTATATTTTATATTGGGATCAAAGGTAACCATTGACAGCCTTAATTTGGGATCCTATTTAATGAGGTGCTGCTTATCTTTCTGTCACTAAGATATTAACTTTCAGCAGAAGATATATTTTCAAGTAATTGAATGTCTTACTTAAGTCAGTTTGTAAATTGTTTTAATTGGGGAGTCTTTGCATATAACACCAAGTACAATGTAAATACCAACAGTGATGAGCATTATGGACATGAAAAAAAAGGAGAATTATACTGCGTAAATTAAAACTAATCCGCCTGGAAATAGTACTCTAAATGCAATCCCAGAGTGTGAGGAAACAGAAGGAATTTAGAAAGCTGTAATTCCAGAATTGTAGGATGACAGTAAGAAATCAAATATTCCTGTGAATATAGTTTGGCATGAAGAATGCAGACATATGGAGAGGATACAGAGAATGACAACAGAACTTGTAAAAGACCACCTAGACTGATTCATCAGGGAGGAGGAAAAGTACTAAATATTTAATGCTCGGTGAACTGCTGGTAAATAAGGAGAGAAGAGAACTGTTTGCAAGTATTTGAGAGACACAGTGATCAAGGAGGGAAAATGGCTACATTTGAAGCGTATGAGTAGCGTAGCACAGCCAGGGGCTTTGAGGTACTGATGCAAGGCTCTTAGAAAACAACCTGCTGAAACTCAGGAGGAAATTAGTTTTATATCCATACTAATTTAGCTGCAGAAACAACCCCTGTGTTAAAAAGTAGTAAATATTGTAAAGAAACCTTTCAGCCTTCCATTTTCATTTTTTTCTACAGCAGGTCACTGAAATCTTGCTTATCACTTGAAAAATTGGAATTTTATTTTTCATAGGCACACGGAGTCACATGGCTAGATGTTGGGGCATCATCTCCCTCCCCTAAAGCTGCATCAATTACCTCAGTGTGTTTCCTGGCAGGTGCTTAGCTAACCTAAGTTTTTAAGCTCCCCATTGACAGAGGCTCAATGGCCCACCTACTCCAGAATTGTTTCCAGTGGCTTTTTGTCCTTCTTGTTTTTAAAATACCTCACCTGTATCTTCCTTGCTATCGCTTAAGCCCCCTATTTTTTGTCTACCCTTCATTTTGGAGAACAGATTATTCCCCTCCCTCCTTGCAACAGCACTTCTTCTGTGAGAAGGTGGTATTCTCTTGTCCTGACAGGACAAGATCCATCCAAGAAACACACCTTTCCCAGAGGTTCACTTGATTTCTTACCTCTTAAGAGATTTACAATGATCTCTGATCATTGTTGTTCTCCTCTGTAATATTTCCAGTGCATCTACATGGTTCTTGCTTGAAATCAGAGATAATACTCCAACTGATACATCAGCAGCACCAAATGTAGCAGAAGAAGAGTTTTACATAACTTGCAAGCACCTGCCCTATTTCTGTGTGCTGGTATTCGGGGTTTTTTTTGCAACAGTATGTTGCAAAACTCACCATAACACCACAGCATGTATGGTGTTAAATCTGTGGAACATTACAGTGGCCAGAACTGCTGCCAGTCATCCCGTCCCACCTCCCTCAGCCTGGACTTGTGCAGTTGGTTACTCTTATCTAAATTAAATGCCTTGCTTCTGTCTTCTTCAATCTGTCGAAACATTTGATTTCTAGTACCCTCATCCAGTGCATTTGAACCCAGTTTGGTCCATCTGCGGGTACAGTGCTGCTCTCTGATCCATCTTGCAAAGAAATCTCTGAGAAGTATCCAAAAAGACTCCTGAGCAACTTTTCTCAGGGTGTCCTTCCAGTGTGAGAGGGAATTGTTGATAACTACACTCCAAATATTCTCTTCCAAACGGTACCAACTTCTACTGCAATTTCATTTAAACCAACTGTCCCTAATTTGTTTATGAGAATATAATGAGATTAGGGACTGTACCTGTGGCCCACAGTTTCTCAAATTTCATCTCTCTTTAGTTTCTCTTTAATTTCTGCTGGTTTTGGGGCTGGTTCCCTAAGTACTGTTTGTTACTCTAGTGGTTTTGAAAACCCTGAACTTATTTAGAAAGCCCCAACCTACTCTTTCCCATTCCATCCATTTTGCCTTTGTCACTGATGTATTGGCTGCCTGGTGACAATTAACATGAACAGTGAAAAAGAACAAGAAAGAAAAAACCCAGACACTTTGGTCTTCTCAGCATCACTTATTATTGGATTTTTCTTTCTGCTTGGCAGACCAAATTTTTCCTGATTTCACCTTATTTTTTGATGTCTGTACAGAGTGTTTCTGTACAAGATCTGAAGATGCACAGCCCTGCACATCCAGCAGCAGGGATTTTTGACTGTGTGGGATCCCAGTATGAAGGGACCCTCTTTTCTGGGAGCTGGGTTACAAGTTTTGATGTGATAGTAAAGGTGAACAAAGGGAATGTGAACTTCACCATGAGTATGCTCCTTTCTGTAGTTTTTACTGGCAAAGGGTTCATGTTTGTGCATTGTCATCTTAGCACAATGTTACCTTTCTACAGAACAGAGTTTGTGTACTTAGTGAAATAAATCTGTTTACAGTGCAACCTTTCAGCTACGTAGACTGTGACCCTAAATGCAAAACAGCAAAGGGAATATTAAATGATTAACTGATCCAAGAATGTGCAGTGAATAGTACTAGGTTTTTGTCTGGGCTGGAAAATAAAGGTAACAAAATGAATGCGATGGTGAATGGTTGTCATTTTGAATAACAAGAGCTTGAACCATAAATTTATTTAGTCCAAGACCTTGAAAGAACAGCCTCAGTGCTTTCAATCTTTCATTAGGGCAACGTTCTCTTTATTTTTTCAGTAAGAAAAAATGGCTTTAAGAAAAAATAGTGACTTCAATCAGTGAAATTACTTTAAAATGAGAGGTTCACAGTGAGCGTTTCATGTCAAACGTGTCTCAGCTCTTTGCTTTTCACGTCAGAATCTCCCAAATTTCACTGGAGGAAGGGTCCTGAATCAGAACTTCAGCCCAGTAAGTTTTTAGATGCTGCACAGAGTTCCCCTTGCTCTGATTCCAGGCTGCGCCTTTTCATGGGATTGTAACAGTTCATGTGTGGGTGAAATTAATTACCAGAGTTGTTAGCCTTATGTAAGCAAATCATCTTGTCTTGCTAAACTTTCATTGCAGCTAGTTTAAGTATTCACAGCAGGATTCCTATTATTTTGTTTCATTATCCTTTATTTACTAATAAAGCTGTTTTACGTAGTGATTCATATCTGGAAGCAATTTAGTATGTCATCATGCTCCTATTTGTTGTCTTCATTAATGAAATGAGAAAACATTGTCAATCAGACAATGGAGGTTGTTACCATGATTTATAAATTCAGTCCTAGGGGTAAGCAAAGTTCTGATCAAGCAATCTTAGGTCTGTTTTTGAGAAGGGCTGGAGTTGGGATTTGCAGGTGGAGATTAACTGGATTTTTGTCTTTTCTTGGAAAAAAGACTATGGTTTATAGATGACCGTTAGGGCTGTATGTTTAGCTTTTTGTGGCTACTTATATTTGCATGAAAAGACTGGTAAGTCTGAAGCGAGCTGGAAGGAACCTGAAAGTGTTGCTCACTGTATAGATCGTTCACCCTGTTCTGTAGGTAAAGGGAGGGAATGCAAATTGGAATATCTCACTTTTTACCTCGCTGTCAGTATCAGCTGCAGCTGCAGATGTTATTGCTGGAGAGCAGGGTATGGTGGGACGTAGACCTGGCCCTTGTGGTTTATACTGTTCGATTTAAGGCCGGTGATTAATTAGGTTATCGCATCCATAGCTGGCGTTGCATGCATAACTAAGATTGATGTTGCTGTGGCAACCTGGAGAGAACAACTGTGCTGAATTTCCCAGGTCTTTGAAGTAGGTGTTCTCCTAATCCGAAACGGGATTGAGAATTCCCATCAGCGCATGAGGAGTGTAACTAAGAGGGGCCCTCATGAGCAGATTGAAATCTTGCATATCTGACTCTCAGACCGAGTTGAGTAAATTCCTGCTCCTCATCAAAAGGTTAGAGAAAACAGGCATTTGCAAGAGATAAGACAAAAGGAAAGCCTGTGACTCAAATTAATCAAGAGCAATTGATTTGAAGACAAATAGAAGCGATGCAGGATTTGATGACTACTATGAAAATCATGGGGTGCTTCCAAGAGGCCATTGACAAAAAGGTTGGAATGTGTTCCAGGTATTGTGACTGGCCTGGAAATAGAAGCAAGGAGGAACTGAACATGAGCCAGGTCAGGACTTCACAGTGTTGTACTTCAAATTAAAATAGTGGTGGTGACGTGACACATGCTAAGGTAGACGGAGGAAGACGTGAAAATCATAGGTGGATGGGAGGGATAACTTGAGGCAGATGAGGAGGACTGTGAGGGGTTCAGAAGAACTGCAGGAAGGTGTGGAAAGCTTTGGGTGTGCTGCGGTAGAGGCAGAGTTTTTGGACTGAATGCTACCTCCTGTGCTTCAGTGGTAGGGCACTCCTTGTATCTGGGAGCCAGCAACTGCTCTCTCTATTTGGGAATGAAGTATTTAATACCATTAGTCAAAACTGCAAGCCAGACACCTTCAAAAACAAACAAACAAAAACCCAACCCAAAAAGTCTGGGGAAAAATAAAAATAAAAATAATGCTCACTTTTTAAAATGTTGGAAAATGGGATTATTCATTTTGGGTTGTTGTCATTTCAAGGTCACGTTTAAATGTATTTATTACTTCAGCAGTGATAGAAAATGTCCAAGCAACATGACTTTCCTTCAAGCAGTACCCTTGAAAAGTTAATTTTCTAAAAGGTTTCAAAATGTTAATGGAAAAATAAGAAATTAGATTACCTTGCAGTCAGGGAACTTCTAGTGAGGTGTGTGGCTATGAAAATATATGCTATCATACGTTTGTACAATTCCTTTTACCTCCTGGAAAGCTGTTTAAAGCTGAAAATAGTTTATTTTGCCTTTTTTTTTTTTTTAACAAAGAAGGAGAACAGCAGTGTGGGAAAGAGTCAGTGGGCCATAACCTATTTACTTTCAGACAGTTTTGTTCATACACCGCAGTTATGGACTGGTGAGCCATTTCCCTGCAAGTTCAATGGGGACAACGCTACGACTTTCATCCAGTTTTCTCACTTTGTGGATCAGCTTGTTCTCAGCTTGTTGATCAACAAGGGCTTGGTGCAGTCTCTCATTGATGAACCTCCATGACCAGGAGGCACTGAAAGGGCAGAGGATCCCACTCTTCATTTGTTGTCCAACTGACTGCTCGTTTGCAGGACTCTCACGTTTCTTAACGCTGCAGCCACCTTTTGGGGCCATGCCAAGACTTGCTGCAGAGCCACCCAACAGCTGGGTGCCCGTTTACTGCCTGCTCCTGGTTCTACACCAGGTCTCGACAGAAGAGTAAGGTACCACACACAAGAAGAATTGAGCCATGGGGAAAGTGTGTCCATAATCACCACCTTCTGCTCTTCTTCTCCTCTTTGCTGGCTTATCGGACAGCTTGCAGGAAACTTAGAAGTGGAGCATCTGCTGAAGCAGTGGAATTTCTGGGCAACTTGGATTTTCATTACCTCCTTTGGAAAAGAGACTTTGCAATTATTCTGGAAGTTACAATGCAGAATTTGGATGAACTAAAACTTTTTTGCAATTTCTGTGCAACAGAGGCACTGTGTTGCACTTTCAAGGCAAAAAAGGTTGTAGCAGTTGTTTTTCTTTATAAAGGGAGAGAGAGAGGTATTGAGTTTGGCTTGAGAAGTTATGAAGTTCTAAGTTTCTGATGTTTTCAGTGACTTGAGACTTGTGTGGAACTGGTACAGCTGCAGCCCAGGTTCGACTCCACGGGTTTCTTGCCTTTTGTAACCACTGAGATGAAGAGGTTTATTGCTGGGATGTTTCCTTGCCGTGCTGCAAAGTAAAACCTTGTAGTGTTACGGATCTTGACTGGAAAGTCAAATTGGCAAGTCAAATGTCATCACGTGACTTAATTATCTACAAAACATAAACAATCAGCAGAAATGGAAATTGTTATGAAATGGTAAATGAAATAATTTGCTTTTTAGTAGACTACTGTTATTCTAAGATTATAACCAAATTATTATCTTGACAATGATTATTAAGCTTATCTAAAAATAAGTTCTAATGCAGTGTTGTAATATATGAAGTCTCTCGTGTGTCCTGTGTAGCAGAAGACACAGTCTCAGTCCAAGTCAATGAGAAAGTTAAAGGAAAAACTTAATGATCTTTTAAGTCAGTAGGAAACTACGCCAAATTTGAGCCTACATTGGAATTCAATAAAGACGTTTTAGGAAAAAGTATAACATAACATTGCATCAATGGAAGAACTCTTACCATCTTCTAAGTCAAGTCCAGGTTGGCTTCTGTGTTTATTTAAAATATTCAAATTAACCTTGGGTTCAGACAGCTACTTCCGTAGTTCACATAAACTGGAATTTCTGTAGCATTTGGAATTTGGTATAAATGATTGAAAACATTCTCCTTTTCTCCTTTTTTTTTTTTCCTAAGAACTGCGAAGATTGAACAAAGAGCTTTCAAGTGGAAACACTGAAGCACATAGTAACCAGACATGAAATATAAACTAGAGCAAGGAGCATATCAGATGGCAAAAGAAAATAAATGATTGTTAGTCTTTGGAATTTCTGCTTATAAATAGAGGACTTCCAGGCAGTTGAACGACAAAATAGAGTATGTTTTGAGGCAGAGAAGAAAGATAGCTGCAGACATGAAACATCCAATTTGTTTTATTTAAGGGTCAAATAAGAAAAAAAAGAACGGGTTTTTGACTCTAAGGAATAGTTATTTGAAATTACTGCAACTAACCCATCCTATTTGACAATATAACTTGAAATGGCATTCTGAGAAAAGTTCTGATTGAGTAACTTCTGGCACATGTAATATAATTTCAAGCCTGTGTTTCAATACTGTCTCCTTCTGTTGTTCAGTCTGTTATAGTTTTCCACTCTTCAAGATGACACTGAAAATGTGCCTACTTGGAATTTACTATACTGTTACTGAGGTTTATATATATATATATATATTCAGGTACTAAAAGGTGAGCTAATGCATCATATAAGAAAATTGTGGATCATGCCAGAAAAAAAAAAAAAAGGATTGTGAAAACATTGAACGTAAATGCTTTGAAGACACATACTCATGATACAACAGTCAGAATAGACTGTGACAATTTGGCCTGACTTCTTACATAGCAGAGTACATAAAACCAGTGAAATGGATCAAGTCTTACATATTATTCTTTTGGGCACTCACACACACTTAACTTGAACTACCTTATTATTATTTTTTTTTCAGTCATTAGGATTAACTCACATTTTCTAAATTAAAAAGATTGCACCTGTAGGACAGGTATTTTGAAGAGCTCATAATATTATTTGTTATTATACCCAATATTTTATTTTAAATCTTTTGTCATAATAACTTATTTCAACAGTAAAAATGACAGAAAGAAACATTTTTATTATGATTTGAAAATGTATATGATTTGAAAATCAAGGAAAATAAGAGAACAACTTGTGTGTCTCAATTCTTTGTTTCTGGCACAGCCAAAGGAATTGCTTTTTTCATTTCATCTTGATAATATATTGCTTAGTTTCTTGAAAGAAGTTTGGAAACAGGCTTCAATCTCTGCTGAGTACTTGGACAATTAAATAAGTTCTGTCTTAATAATGGAAAGGAATATTTCCTGAATAAACAGGCAGTTTGAATTAGTTTGAAGAATGCCTGAACACTTTGCAAAGTAATCTCATCAGCCTCCATCAGATAGTAGAGTCTGACCTGGTTGGCACTTAGATGAGGGGAAATCTTAAGGAAGATGGAAGATTTTGTATAAAGGGATTCAGTGTCTGCTTCCACTTGGTGTTTTACATGAGATTAGGAGTAATATTAAGTGGAAGAAGATACCACTTTTCAAATGAATCATCAAACTGAAATACTTTGCTAGAAAATGAAGATAGTGGAGTGGGAGCAAGGAAATCATGGTTTTGTTGCTGAAAAATTTCAACCAACTCATCAATTCTAGAAGGTAGATAAAACCACAAATAATTTAGGCTTGAGTTAGGGGCTTTGGTTTCAGGGTTCAGGCTATATTTCAAATAACATACTGGTTGTTTGCCTACCTACTCACCTTAGCTACAGCTGGAAAGTCTATTCTTAAATTCCTGTTCTTAATCATTCTGCACTCCTGCTGGATCCAGGCTCAGTTTTGCTCAAGGTAAGTTTTTACTGCATTGGTGAACTTGTTTAAGAATGTGCATATTATTGAATAGGCCCATGTGCTTATACAGTGCTCCTCAGGCAAGATGATAGATTGAAATTTTTTCTTGATTTTTGCAAAATAAAATCAGATCCTTGGAGTAAAGACCATTTTATAAATTTCATAACTGTTAGATGGGTGTAAACTTAGAAGGTCCTGAATTATGCACGTCTGTAAAATGTTAAGTCTCCGCTTTGCACGAACAGCGGTTTGTGTTGCCTTGTACATAATCTTTCTTCTTTCTGTCTTCAGGATGGAACATGAAGCTACCCAGCTAGAAAAGCAGCACGTGCACAGCGTGTATGAGAATACAGCTGCCTACTTTAATGATCTGCAGAGCAAAGCGTGGCCTCGTGTCCGAAACTTTCTGCTGGAGCAAAAGCCTGGCAGTCTCGTTGCTGACATAGGTAATCTATTCCTTGGGGAAGTGGGAAAGATTGTCTATAGGCTTTGCTAGTTTACATCTTAATCATATGTATCCTTCAGAGCAATTGTTTTTAAAACTCATTTAAATTTGTTTTGAAGATTGTTTTTAATTTTTTTTTTTAAACTCAGATACCGTATACCTCTTGGTTTATTTACTTGACATTGTATCACATAACCAGCAAATATGATTTTTGCCTTATTTTGATTGAGCTAAGCCTTAATCTACCAGTTTCCCCACAGATTTGGTGGTCTGTCATTCCCCTGGAGCCCTTTTTAAAAAATGGTCTTAATGTTTATGTTAATGTTAATTTCACATTTCAGTTTCTTTGGATCCCTTGGTTTAAGTACTGCTGATCTGCAATTTAATGCCTTGCATTTGTTCTAAAACTCCTCCTATCAAGGCTTTAACCTTAGAGAAATCTGATGCGATTTCTCTTTAAAAAAAAAAAAAATTAATAATTGTGGTCTGAGAATCTCCCTATGATCCTTATTACAGACATCAAAACCTCATTTTTCTGCTATGGCCTTGTCTTCCCTACATGTTGAGTTTATATCTTGATTTTCTATTGCACCTCCAGGCTTTTTAGGGGTTTCCGAATCCTGGTGTGTTTGGTTTTTGTTATGACTTCAGTGCTACACAGCACATCATTGCAAACAAGATGCTCCTTTGCACCACTGGATTTTCCTCACTGTTTAGACTAATAAAATGCTTTTATGGAGCAAAGTGTAATAAAAATACACAATAAATTATGCATCTGCCTTCTCCTATCAGAGAAGATAATTCTTTGAAGGTGGTGTGGGCCATAATCAAAAGATAATATATAATTCTCCTGCTGCTGTTGGGCAGTACCCCAAAAATACTTGATTGCTCTTATTTTGAATATGTATTTTCTTTTATATGCCTGCACCATTTTCCTTAATAATGTAAGGAAATATCCTGTGGCATACACTCATTCAACAGCCAGCTTCACATGATATTTCTCAGCCAAATTTTTTTGTCACCTCAGTAGAAGTCATTAGAAGCTCAGCTGAAATTCTTCGAGGCTCTATCAGCAGGCATCACAGTGGTTGCCCTAAGCTTAAGATCACCCTGTTACAATTTCAGCTAAAATAATTTAAAGGCATGTAATACATGTGGAGAGGAGGTAGATGCTTACAGTTGCCCATAAGAATATTCCCACCAAGGTACCTCCTTTTATGAGGTTTAATAAAATCTCCAGGAATCTGACTATTGTGTTTATTTATGGTGTGTATTTTGGGAGGAAGGCTGCCTAGTGGCACCAAGATTTTCAAAATGAGGTGTTCAATTGAGAAATTCCTTTTCTGTTTAATACCACCTTTTATTAAATATATTATTGTTTGCTAGCTAGGTGTTCAATTGATAAGTTCTTTTTCTGTTTAATACCACCTTTTATTAAATATATTATTGTTTGCTAGCTTTACATGAAGCATGGTAATGGTAGCAGAATATAGTATCATTTTGTCTAATTGCCGTATTCATCAAAATAAATGACAATACTATGGCTATTGTTGACAGCTTCATGAAGGAATCCACCTCCTGATGACTCATTTAAAAGTGAGTCTCCCGCAAATGTAGATTTTTAGAGTACTGAGAGTGTTGCCATTATTTAGCTTCATTCTGGAGAGGGCCCTCTACTTCCAAAAACTCACAGTGATTAAAGAGCACTCCACTAAAAGCCATGTATTAAGTAACTGAATCTTCTAAATTAATGCACGTTTGACTTGATGTGTTCTTTCTTTGAACATAGTAACTAATAATACTTTCTACTAATTTTAAATCTTACACTTGCTAGCATGCAGAGCTTCTTGTTTTATTGCATATATTCCTTGAACTGTATTAACAATATTAATCTTTGCCATTTCTGTCAAGTGTTACTTCAAAGAACAGTGCTTGCTTTTTCTTTAGAAATAAGCTCTTTTTTCACCACTGAAGTGTTGTGCTGTTCTCCAGCAGTTCCTGTGCTGTCTGTCTAGATAATGGTGCACATTAACATCAACGAGAGCAGCAGCGCTGCAAGAAGCAGTGATGTTTCTAAAGATAACTCCAGGCCTTTAAATTGAATTACCAACACTGAGATGGTTCTCTTTGCCAAGCTGCTACCCCGTTGCTTGGCTGTCAACTTTCAGAAATTATTCTTCACTACTGACCCATAACTGCAGTGAATGTTTCCTAATCTAATTTTGAAAAGTGCCTGTTGTGCATACGGTATTGAGGAACATTCTGAAAGATTTCAATTTAGTACAGCACAGTCCTTGAGAAGACATACTTTTAGGTGGAAGACATTCTGGAGCAGTTCATTACATTTACATGCATTATAGTGCAGTGGCACAGAGCAGGAGGAGGACGTGCCTGCGACACGGCAGGAATTTCTGGGATTCACTGTGATGTTCAAGTCTGCATCTGAGGTTAAAATTGTCCTCTCTGTCCTGTGTCAGGGACGGCTGTGGTTTGGGGTTTGGAGAGAAATGGGATGCACTGGAGAGGGACCGCGTGGGGTTCAGCAAACACCAGGGAAGTACTTGGCAGAGAGATGTATTGCAGGTTGCTAAAAAGACTAAACACGCTGGCTTCAGGGAAAGCCCTGAACAGAAAGTAATTGGAAGCTGGAAGGGTACTGAGGAAGAAGGTCATAATGTTTACCTTCTTCTTGCTCTTTCTTGGGCACCCATTTAGCTCATGGCTGGAAACCAAATACCAGGCTACGTAAAGGCACAGTATGAAGCAGCATGGTTGGTTTTTTACTCCAAGATATGCAATCGTGCCTGCAGAGGACCACTCCTTCCTTCTCCTATGTGGGCTTACCCTTCTTCCCCCCCCAAATATACACAGCCTGCTGTTACACAGGGCTCTGTAATGAGTGTTTCTGTGGGTGATGCTGGGGCTGTTGCACTCCTTACAGTGTGAAGGTGCAACTTCAAACAGTCCCAATGAACCCTGCAGCAGTCATGCCAGGAGGGGCAACCGCTCTCATTTAGTTTTCCAGGAAGCTGTAGAATTAGGAAAGCCTCCCCATTATTTTCACTGCTTTGGGGGAGAGATAGCAAGTGTTTGGAATGTGTGACTTCTGATGTGGTATTCTTTTCTTCAGGTTGTGGAACTGGCAAGTATCTCAATGTCAACAGCCAGGTGTATAACCTGGGCTGTGATTACTGCGCACCGCTGGTAGAGATTGCAAGGAGGAGAGAGGATGAAGTTCTGGTTTGTGACAACCTGAACCTTCCCTTCAGGGACCAGTGCTTCAATGCAGTCATTTCCATTGGAGGTAAGACAAAAAACACGCATTCTGGCCTGCAGCAAGTACAATTTTTTTTTGGATCCTTTTCTTTCCATGTGCCTTCATTTCAGTTCAATTTGTTTTGAAACCGTTCCCTTAGAATCACAGAAGATATTACTGAAATTAATGTAGCAAACATGAAAAAAAATACATGTAATTCCATAGCACAGAGGCGCTGTTGACCAAGGAAATATTTGGATCATTTGTTTGTTTATATGTGGTCTTGTTCACCCTGTGGAGAAAAGATTTCCTTCCAGCATGCATTTTTAACTAAAAACTAATATAAACATGGCTGCTCACAGTTTAAACAGATTAGGTGGTCAAGATAAACTCTCGGTTCCTCCTTAGGATCTGTTTTGAACAGCAAATGCACTGAAATGAAAACTTGCTTTCTCTATGGCAGGACTTGAATCATGTTAACTATTATGTGTTATAAGTACAAATTTCTCTTTGAATAATCATGAAATAATAACTTAGAGCCGTACAAGTGCCTGTTGGCTAAAATGGGTGAAGCATCTCAGCATCTTAACTCCTCTGGCCTCTCATTTTGAAAATATTACTCATAATTTGAGAAGTACAAACTGGAAAAGGGTAGATGAGGAACAGCTTGAGTACCCAGTTACAGTCTACATTTTTAGCTCTACTCTTGCTTGAACTTCTTCCAGGGTGTTTCACTCTAGAAGCAAAAATATAAAGCATGATAATCATTATTGGTAGCAATCAACAAACTAGTTGAACTGTGATATAAATATATTTTAAAATGTATTTTTCACTTATGCAGGGTAAAAGAAAGGGTGACTAATATGCAAGCACTGTCTATATTACTCTGCTTTCATGTTGGCTAGTGAACCAGTGAGCCCTATCCACATTTCAGGTCTTCTACCATAATTTCAGATTCATTATCAGATCACCTGACTTTGAAGGATAGCATATTTATCTCATGTTTTTACCAATTATAAGCCTGAGAAGATTTAAAGTTCACGTGGTATTTCTGTATGTTTAATAATGGTGGATTTTAATACCTCTTGAATAGAGACATGGTTTGCCTGTGTCCATCTAATTCTAAATAAAGTGTTTTACATTCCGTTCCAGAGAATGACCAGTATATACGTACATAGTCAAATACTCTTCATGGCTTTGCTAGCATGATCAGACATGGTTTGCCTGTGTCCATCTAATTCTAAATAAAGTGTTTTACATTCCGTTCCAGAGAATGACCAGTATATACGTACATAGTCAAATACTCTTCATGGCTTTGCTAGCATGATCCAGTTTATAGGATTTGTATTTCTGCAGAACCACCAGAGTGACCATATAATTTTAACTATGAAGAATCTTTACATTCCGTTCCAGAGAAAGACCAATATATACATACATAGTCAAATACTCTTCATGGCTTTGCTAGCATGATCCAGTTTATAGGATTTCTATTTCTGCAGAACCACCAGAGTGACCATATAATTTTAACTATGAAGAATATTTAACCCACTAAATAAATTGCATAGATAGAGCTTGCACAGATTCTGTTGGCTGACTGGCACTTTCTTCTGGTGAACTAAACTGGAAAAGGGTAGATTTAGATCAGAAGTTAGGAAGAAATTTTTCACTCTGAGGGTGGTTCCTGGTGAACTAAACTGGAAAAGGTAGATTTAGATCAGATGTTAGGACGAAATTTTTCACTCTGAGGGTGGTGAGGCACTTGGAACAGTTTGCCCAGAGAAGCTGTGGATGCCCCATCCCTGGAGGTGTTCAAGGCCAGGCTGGATGGGGCTTTGAGCAACCTGGTCTGGTGGGAGGTGTCCCTGCCAAGGGCAGGGGGTTGGAACTGGATGGTCTTTAAGGTCCCTTCCAACTCTAACCATTCTATGATTCTATGAAGCTCACATGCTTATACTGTCTCTGTCAGTTTTGATATTACTTTGCAGGAGATTCTGTGGTGATGTATGGCCAAACTCCAGGATGAAATAAAATAACAGTTCCTTTCTTCTCATCTTGTTGAAGAAATTGAAATAGTAATATTTTTTTTTGCAAAGTTGTGAAAATATTGATACCTCATCTTGTTGAATAAATTGAAATAGCAATATTTTTTTTGCAAAGTTGTGAAAATATTGATAAGGTTAGGAGTACTTGGAAATCAACACTGACCATATAGACCAGAGAACTCTTCTCAGGGTTTGCTATCTTGTGTTGTCAGCTGCTTTTATGAGGGCCTAGTTTAATATCAACTGCCAAGAATGCTTTTCTTGGCTTGTGGTAAAAAAAGCTATGTTTTTTTTTCTAAGGTTAGGAGTACTTGGAAATCAACACTGACTATATGTACCAGAGAACTCTTCTCAGGGTTTGCTATCTTGTGTTGTCAGCTGCTTTTATGAGGGCCTAGTTAATATCAACTGCCAAGAATGCTTTTCTTGGCTTGTGGTAAAAAAAGCTATGTTTTTTTTCTCCTTGGTAATTGAACCATTGTTTTGAATAAAGTTGGTGCTAGTTGGACACACTTGTCATAACTGCAGTGTTGAAATAACACTGTTTCTACATGTAGAATTGGCTACTGTCAAGCAGCACATATAAAGATAATCTAATATTTCTGAAAGAATGGGGATGTCTTTAGCTAAGAACATATATTATTACTATATGTTGTTATATGGGTAGATTGAATATTCTGCATGTAGAAATGGCTGGCTCCAAGTCCACTTGAAACAAATTATGGAATCAGTCCTCTTTATGTCACAGATTTGAATCAAATCTAGTACTGATAATACATATAGAACAGTATGACCAACACAACCAATCTCAGTACAAGTTAGTGGTTTTGAGAGTTCAGAGAGTAAAAGCTGCCCTAACTATTCACTGTCCATTAAAATTAGTTCCTTCAGGTAAGTAGGAAGATATAGACAGTGTGGAAATTTTGAAACAAAGCTTCATTTCACATTGCAGTGAAATTTGAAAATGTGGAAATTATTCTTGAAAGAAAATTCAAATATAGTGATCACTAGCCTTATATTTCACTTTGACTTTTTATTTTTTAATAGCATTACAGAACGTAACAAAAAAAATCACCAGTCTCAGACATGGAGGTGTAGACTGAGATACTTTCATTTTTTATCTCTCCAAAACAAACATTCTATAAAGGTAACACCTTTCTACAAAATTAATGCAATGGAAAATATTTCTGTATAAACTTTCTTACTAGCTCTTTTGAAAGTACACTGCTATAAAAATACAGAGTATCTTTTTACTGATATAGCTTCTTTTGGCTGGATTTGTTACATGGTGAAAAGATTTTCTGTTTCCAGTAAGATAAGTCTGAAATGTGTCCCAAATCTAAAGTCAAACAATATTATTTAATTCACCTGAAATCCAGGCATCTGAGTGAAAGCCAGCCATGCTATGATCTTTTTTATGGGTGATGCAGAGAAACAGAAACCTCCAGTTCATATAGCTGAGTTATTTTGAATTCCTATTTTGAAATTAAATTAATTTCTTTCTTAGGGATTTGCCTGTTTTTAATCCGTTGAACAGAAATGTGAAAGAGACCATTCTGGGGTAAATTTGCCCTGTTATACCAATAAATTCAGCACTGTTGTTGACCTGCAGTGAGTGATATTTGTCATATGGCGACCAAAGCGATGAAACCCGTAGAACAGGCTGCAGATGAACATGCTGTGTCCTTACTAATATTCAATCCATAATGCCTTTCCTTTTTCACAGTGATCCATCATTTCTCAACCAAACAAAGAAGAATCAAAGCAATAAAGGAAATGGCGAGGGTATTGGTACCCGGCGGCCAGATGATGATTTATGTTTGGGCTATGGAACAAAAGAATCGTCGCTTTGAGAAGCAAGACGTGTTTGTTCCGTGGAACAAGGCCTTGTGCTCACGGCATTTTTCGGAATCGAATCAATCCGGAGATAAGGGTGAGTTCGTGCAGGCCGTAAAAAGCCGAGACATACACCCTGCCCAGGTCATCATCTCGGACTGCGGCTACCAAACCAGTCTGCAGCCAGAAACTGGTCCAGACCATCCCCACAGCACGGACCACTGCTTATCCAGAGCCTGCTGCGTCAAAATTTCCGAAGAAGAAAACAGGTTTTACAGTGCTCTGGGAAGATCTTTCCGCTCGTGGTTTTTCTCCAGGTCTCTGGATGAATCAGCCCTGAGAAAGCAAGCTGAGAAAATGAAGCCTCTGAAGAACGCCGGGGAATGGGCAAACAGTTCTCCGCCCCTTCAGCATTCGCGCCACTGTAGTTTGGACCTAGGTCACCATGGGGCACTGCTAAAAGAACAAAGTTTGGATGACGATGACGTGTTCGTGGAAAGCCTGCCTCTCAAAAAACCACAGTGGTCACCAGCCACAGACGCACTGAAGGATTTAAGTTTAAATGGAGGACACCAAAGTGTAGCTCGGGGCAAGAGTGAAGAAGCTCCGTTTATGAATGGCCCCGTGGAGGACAGGGACTACAGCTGTGGGTGTAATAAAGATGGTGCTGGTAAGTCTAATGCCAGCAAGTTTTTCAAAAGAACTTCAACAACTGACTCCACTGACTCTGCTTTGGATTCAGCAGTGTCCATTGGGGACCAGACGGATGCCATGTTGGATCCAAAAGCCTTCATGCGTTATTACCATGTTTTTCGGGAAGGGGAGCTGTGCTCCCTGGTAGAAGAGAACGTGCCTGAGCTTCAGATACTTTCCTCCTGCTACGACCATGGAAACTGGTGCATTATTGCAGAGAAAAGAGGAACGTAGCTGGAAAGAGAAGGAAGGAGAGTTCAGTGACTGAGGATTTTAAGCTGCTCCTTGTGTTCCTGTGATTTTTCGGTGTGACGTGGACTCCGATTCTCATGTAGTTGTGTGCCATTCATTTCTAAGTTGTTATCTCTCCACCTATTTAACTCTCTAATGCAAGGTCTGTATATAGGAATGTAAGTGGTAAATGATATTTATGTTTTGTTAAACTTTTATGAAGTTAAAAATGGAGAATTTTATACTGCTTTTAGCAAATGATTGTGTTTTTAAATATACTTTTCTATTGAAAAATAAAACCTTTTTATAAGACAAGGATCAGGGCATCTTTTGTGAGAAATACCCTCTCAGTAGGAAGTTTAGACTTTGCTCTTCAAAAGATGAAAATGTGTCATGTTACTGCCTGTTCTTGAAGCCCTATAAATAGAGACACAGGCACATTGGAAAAAATACTTGACTGTTCACTGGTGGAGTGCGTGCTGCAGAACTGGGAGCAGGCATGGTCCCAGTCCTACTTGGTTTGGAGTAGAGTTGTTAATGGGCAAAAATTGTGTACAGAACAAGCTCTGCATATTCTGACATTTGAGGTTTGTATTTAAGAGCAAATGACTGAACAAATTTTGAACAATATTTTTGACTTTTTGTTTTAGAAAGAATCAGATTTGTGTCTCAGGTGCAGGTTAAGTTTTATACGTTAGCTCTCACAAATACTTTATCTTAATTTCCTTTGCTGTAGTTTTTCATTGGTTATGTGTACATAAAAGTCAAAGGGATTTGTGAGAGTATCAGTATTATGTAAAGGTTACAAAATATCAAATATTTGAGATACATATATCTTTTTGATAAGCCTGGGAAGCTAAGATAAAATTAATAAAATTCCAGTGCATATCTGGTCAGCTGTCATATTTGCTCTCCTTATTCACTGACAAGAGAATATATATTAAATGGTATGTTAAATAACACAGATAGGAAGAGGATACAAGTCCAGTTTGTATATGAAATACAAATTCCTCTCTTCTACAGTTTAAATGAATCTTTTGAGACCTGAAAGATAATAGATTGCTTAAACAACTTTTGCATTCCATATAAGGCATAAACTTGGCTGAACATGGTGCCCAGTCATCATCCAGTCACACTAGATTGTAGCAGTTGCCCTCATATCATTCTTTACACCCAGTTCTTTTACTCCCCCTTCAGTAGGAGTCTTATGATGTGAAATTATATCTGCTGTGGATTAAATCCACCTGGCTTTTGAAGATCAGTACTGATACTGTAATTGTTACCAACTGAAACAGGGTGGGGCTGGGCTAATTGCCTCGTTAGCACAAAGTTTCTCCATCTTTTAGGCTTTATTTACAGTCAGTGGTTTTAGTGTAGGGCACATCTTCAGTTGGTGTGACCTTCCATGGAGCTGCACAAATTCACTCCACAGGTGAACCCTTTTGATACACCAGTTTTAGACACCCACATAATTAAGATATCTGCTCTATTAGTGAGCAAATAACTTTGATTACAAAGCAACAGGAGTGAAATATCAAACTTTTCCAGATTATGCTCTGTAAGTAGATTGATTTGGGGTTGTTCAGTACAAAGCCCTGATGGTGCTGAGTAATTTTCGATGTAGCTGCCCAGGAGAATTCCCATGTGGTAATGTATTACAGATTTATCTACTGGAGCGATGCCTGTAGAACAATCATCTTTGTCTTCCTCGCAATTTGCAATCCTTGTACTTTGTCCTCCCTGGGTCTGCAATGCTTGCACTCCCCACTGCCTTTTTGAAAACAAAAGTGTGGTTGGAGAACCATGCATCTGAGACTTCCGAAATATTATTCCGCTCTGAATATTCCTTTCGGTACAGCCTGGGGCTGTGGTCCTCTGACCCCTACCTGAGAAAGCTGGCAGCATTCCCTGCACTGCTGGGTCCAGCTGCATCCTTAGGCTCCAGCTCTAGAAGCACAGGGCAGAATGCCCATACTGGTATATTGCAGAGCCAGCACGGGTCGTGCTGAACTCCACATCCCATCTGCAATGTGCTCATGTGGGGCTGGTGAGGCCTGCCTCATTTGTTGGGAATTTCTGGCAGAGCCTGAGGATTTCACAAGAAAACCCAATTGCTTCCAGATAAGAGATGTTGGTCGATATTCAGCATCTCTGGAATTTGGGCAGTATTAGCAATTGATTATCATCCTATATCCAGTTTTGAAAGTTTGTCTCTACATCCCAGCATGCAGAAACTCTATTACACGTATATAAAAATATTTATAAAATGTTATTAATCTAAACTGACAGCTGGGTTCAGTTAACTGGGAGATGGAACATTATAATTTGGTTATCTGCACTTCTGCAGTCTGTCTGTGGAGTATTTGGTGTGTGGTCAAGCAGGCTGATGAAATTTGGGGTAAACTTAGAAAGAAAAGGCTTCCATTCTCTTTACAACAGAGACTTACTGTCCTTGTAAGAGGCTGAATCCGTGTCTTGGGCTCTAGTGAAAACTTCCTGCTCTATCAGCTGGATGGAAAGACCTGTCAGCTCAAAGCCACTGAGGTACTTTAAACTGTTTGCATGTTTATAGACTTTCTGTGCATTGTTTGTTTTGAGGTTGTTGCCTGGGGATGCATTTCACAATTATTTATTTCTGTATTGCATTTTCTCTTATTTTGAGCTGATGCTATTAAGTTGCATTACATACAAGTTTGGATTGTGTTATAAATTCCTGGAAAAAGGAAAAGGAAGGTTTGGTAAACTGCTTTCTTTTAAAATACTCAGTCTTCTTCTGAGGACCTATTATCACCATGTAACATAATTTTTGTAGACTTGGGATCAATCAGCTGAGGTCATGAATGTGAGGTCGTGCAGACCTCAATTCTTTGTTCCCGTAGGCAGTCTCCCATCTATTTATAGAGGCTGCCTATGTCTGTAACAGCTTTATCATTTCATAAGAAGCCCGATTACCTCACTCGGAGCATGGTGAATGTCTCTCTTGATTGGTTTCTTTTTTGATGAGGCCCATCTTAGGCAAAATGTAATTTCCAGAAGGATCCATGTGATCCCAATCTTTAATAGCTTACAGACATACTTAATGTGCTCAGAGAAGTGTGTATACCATTGAAAAGTCTATAGTCAATGAATGAATAAATAAATAAACCCCAGTTGTCCTTGCATGCTAAGACTCTCAGCAGTGTCCAGAATACAAGATTTGACTGTTATAAAGTAAAAAGTAAATATGTTCTTGTATTTATTGTCTGACAGATGGGCAGTAGGCTCACCCCAGTTATGCCAGTAACAAACCTCCTTCTGACTGCAGTGGGCTAGGATTGCTCCTAAGCTCCTCATCTAGCGTTAAGTGGCACAAGAAGTCTTGATTACAAAAGAAAAGATGTCCTGGTTTTTTACAATTTAATTTACTAGTGTTGTTGTCAGTCTGAACTGGCTAAACAAAAGCTGCTTCCTTATTCCTCTTAGATCCAAATGGACAATTTCAATTAAAAAGATACAACTGAACAGACTTATTTTTGAAGGACTAATACAATTGCAATCTTTGATAAATGGCATTTTTGTCTTTATATTTTTATAATACATGAAAATATTTGTATTAGAAGCAAAGAAGTATAAAGGATTTTTTTGTACTAATGGTGACTAATTTAATTTCTTCCAAGCTTATGGTGTAGGAATTTTAAAAGCACAGGTGAGGAATGAAAGCTATAAATATTCCAGCAGATTTTCTTCTGGTAGATATTTATATACAAGTGACTTATGTGCACAGTTTAAAATGCTGAGTGAAGAGCTGCGTATGTTCCACCAGCAGAATGTTGTTAGTGAACTTTCTGGATAGATTCTTAATAGAAATAATGTCTCTGATCCTGCGTCCTCTCTGCCATGCCATGTCTTCATCAGGCTGTGCTTATATCACTGTTGGGCTGTGTTCGTATCGACATTGTGTTGGATCTGCAGGTCTACCCACTTTCTTGCTCAGCATTTTTACAGGATTTCTGGCTACTTTAGTACTCCAGGAAAACAATGTGTGTCAGTGTTAAATATATGCAATTGTATGTCTATTTGTGAGTTCAGCATTTCTTATTCTTACAATATATGAATTCTGGCAGCTACCTTTGAGTTTATCTTCCAATCTTCTGTTCAAAACCATGCTTAGATACTGCTCTGGAGTCAATTCTGTGTCCATACCCGGAACCAATTCTCTAGTATTTGACAGAAGATGAATCCTGCTTGGTTAAAAAAGTATTTTCTACAGAACTTATGCGCTTTCAGATTAGTTAATAAATAAATTAGCCACTTAAAACTCTGTGTCTGGGAAAGTTCTTAATGAATGTTAAATTTGAGAAGACTTTGTTAGTGCTATTTGTTCTGTCCGTTAGACATGACACAGAGTGGGTAAGCGTAGTGATTTGTTGTGAAGCCAAGGAGCTTGTCTTTACTTTAGACAACCATAGTCAACCGAGCCGTAAATATTATTTGAACTAGGTAAATAAAGGTGATGAAATGTAGTTTTTAACCACATCAGTACTATATGTCCTGTCGATGACAGAGAAGCAGGGTGGTCAGCAAAATTAATTGCTACAGAGCTCCATGTCCTGCTCTTTCTGGTCCATTTACAGTCACCATCAGGACTAAGCTTCGTGGTATAAGATAACAGTGAAGTATTTCTTTGGGATGGTCGATGTTCTTTTTGCACCAATTTAAATCAGAAAAGAAAAAATAAGGTAATTAGAATTATGCAATTGCCTGTTGAGCTTAGAGCTATACTGTGTTGAAAGTGGTTTTATAGCTGCAGTGATCATTTCTTTTGTTTGTACAATTACAGTGATCACTTACTGTACTGATAAGTTTATTATAGTAATGACTAAGGACCTAGTAGTAATTAATCACTATCAGATGAGTTTTAATACATGCCCAGTAGTACTGAGCATGTAACATGATAGTATTTAGTTTATGGGAAAGTACCATGAGCACAAGCTGGACAATAGGGTGGTAACAAATATAATTTCAGGGGGATATGGCATGGTCTTTATGAAGAGGGAATTAATTAAATCTGGTACAGTGTTGAGAAAGGCTAAGGAAAAACAGTAAGGATAGGAAGTGTCCAGGGAAGTGAAGGGGAATGGCAAAGATGGGAGCAATCACAGCAGAAAAAGCACAGTCAGCACTGCTGGATATTCTTAGGATATGCAGATGTCTCTGTTTTGACCACTCTTACTTTCTGAAGGGACTAATTGAAATCTCCCTGCCATCTTACTTCACAAGCTTGCGCAGGGGGAGGAATGCACCTTTTCCTCCTCACTTGGAGTTCAGCACTCTTTCCTGTACGCTTCCAAAATTAGGTATACGCAGAGGAAGATTGCTTAGGGATAACAATTTTTCCTTCCTTTATATCTCCATCACTTCATGGCAGTGTGTTCTATTTTGATTCCTTTTATTTTTGCTGAGTGCTTCAGTTTGCTCTGGTTGGTTTGACCTTCCTTGGCTGTGCCCACAGTCTGGGGTTGCATTTGTTTAACCCAGTTACCAATATAGTTGCACTGGTACAAGCTTTGCACGTAGAAAGGCTTGTAGGGACAGATTAAACAAGTATTAAGGCACAAAAAGCTGCATGTTTTCAGCAGTCAATGGATACCAAGAGGAAAGAAAGGCTTGCTCTGTGACCCTCATTTAACACATTAGGTATGTGGGTGCTGCAGAAGCTGTCCCAGGCATGTAACTGCATCTTTGATACTTGGATAGTTATAAAAATCTGCCTTGAGTGAACTACTAGATACTTGGTTTTCTTCCACAGTTGTAAAAATATTTAGCATTCTGCATTCTGATGGATGTAATTGCACAACTTCCCTTTGCTTGACTAATAACCACTCCAAGGGCTCCACTATTTCTATTTAATTTCTTTTTTAAATTCAATTTATTTTCTTCTTTCTAAGCATTTCCTTCCAAAGATGTCCCACTTCAGCCCACCTCTTTTCTATTCAGACAGATAAAGCCAAACAACAAATATAGCAGCAGCACCTCATATTACCACAAATATGTCTGGATTACTCATTTTTATCTTTGAATTGCCACTTGTGGTGATACTTCCAGGCTGTTATCATACTTTTACCTCTGACAGCTGAAGACAACAGTGAAAAAACCCCACCCTTAATACCTCAAACCATCATAGCAAACCTCATTACAATGACTAATTTAGGGGATTATGGGCACTTTAAATCTCTAATAGTGCAAATCGTAATAGTATCATCTATACATAATTCTCTTTTTAATCCTTTTCCCCCCAGCTATTATTTATTCATCATTGTTTTCACTTAAGTACCTTTTGAACCCTTTAAGCTATACTTACATCATCCAGGAGCTTGGGGTGCTTGAGGACAGCAGATGCCTCTGTTGCTGTTGTGGCAATTCAGCACCTGCTCCTGCTGCTTTTCCCAGCACCCAACAGAGAAAAGTTGTCTTAAATGAAACCCAAATAATCTGATTTAAAAAAGAAACAACCAACAAACCCCTCCCAAACTAACAATGACAATAACCCTAGCAGGAGGTGCTTCAGCAGTAGTGATCGTATCCAAATTGAAATGGAAATGCGGGGGAAAAAAGAAAATATGGATGTTATGAGTGGTGCTCCTAGCTTGGAAAAGGTTCTTGCTTATAAATTATTCATCCCCTTTAGCCCCGTTGACTCTGCTTTGGTGAGGGGGTATGTGGATGGGACAGCGGATGCAGGAACAGTGAGATGGTATTAGGTTGCCCTCTTCTGTTGTGACAAAGTAGGCTGATTTCTGCAGAATATTAACTGCATGTCGCTCCTGTTTGTACAGCATCTCAGATTCTCTTTCCTGAATGAAGAGAGGATTGCTCTGTGGCTCTCAGTCATTCTGAAGCTGTCAGGAGTAAAAGAGGCAAAGATAAAGGAGGTGGGCGCAAACAAGCAGATCTTCACCCTGTAGCTGAAAATATCACCTCTTGCCAATGTGCTGACAAAGAAGTCTGTGTGTGCACAGTCAGATTGAAAGCTGATGTTTCCTCTTGCACAGGGTAAAAATAAAAGTCATTCGTGGGAGGCTTTTTGGTGAGGCAACATCATGTTCTTTTTCTGTGTCTCTCTCCTGCCTCTTTATAGAAGAGGCTATGAGAATAACTGAGAATCAATCGACCCTTGACCCATCTGCTTCCTTATCACAGGACTGACAGAATGGTTAGGTTTAGTTAGAACATTTGGAATGGGTAAAATGAAGTGTTTCCTGCGAAAAGAGGAATTAGACACTTGGACAGAACAAATGCTTTGCTGCAGAGAAAGCACAGCCATTCAATACGAGGTTAAACCTTTCTACTTAAAGAGGGAAAACAGACTGTTTTGAGGCTGTTTTGCAGCTCGTCGGCCAAAGCTGCTTTCCAGTGTGTCCGAGAGAACACCAGAGGTGAGACGGTGATGAAATTAATAGAGACCAAGTCACACACAGCGTCTCCAGGCTCCTTTAAATTGATGTTTTATTCAATGACAGAGCCTGGGGAAGGTCATTGCCTGCACTGAGCAGCAGCAGCCCCCATCAGCATCAATAATGGTCAAGAGCTCTTACTGCCTCTTGGGATCTGGCCCTCTCCGTGTTACGAAGGCTGGCTGTTCCAACACTGACCGCTGGACCATTTAAAAAGGTTACTCTAACTCCTGTTTTAAGTAGTGGGCAGAAACAAATATACATGTATATATGTTTTGATGCAACCTTTTTTGTTTGATATTGTTTTTCCCCCTTCTGCATGTATTGAAGGTTTTACTTACGTTACAATACAATGGTAACTAGCGCTTGGTGTGATTTCTGAAAGGAAAATGATCCATTTGATAATGAGGCAGAAAGGACTCCGCCATCAGCAGGAAGGAGCTGACACCCAGGGCATGTTTGGAAGGAGGTGGTAGGGAAGAAGGGAAGGGTGCCAGGAGAACCACATGAAGAGAGAGTAACAGAAAACTGCTCAAACCTGTGAAGTCTGACCTGATTCTTGGAGTAATTACATCCAAATCTGATTCAAAGACTTCCATGGTCTTTGTATCGGTTGTTTTCGGAAATGCCTGTTTACCCTGGGATTTTCCTTGCTCTGATTCTGAGGAGAAATAAAGCTCCCTGGGAGGTTTATTTCATGTTTAAATATATAGTAGTCCAGTCAGTTTAATAGTGGAACAAATGTTTGACCACAGTTGCCCAGGAGCATTTCCACAGTTCCTTGAAGAGTCAGCCACTGGCACACCCAACTCCCTTTCTCTTTCCAGCCTCTGAGATTCACGAGGAAATAAAAAAAAATAAAAATCTGAGCAGGAAGAGCAGATTGGGGCTGTGACTTTTGCTCACCTACTCCTTGAGCTGGATATTCAAATACTGAAACCTTGTATCTGTATTGTCAGCTACTGTGAAAAATACCTAGACTTCAGTGAGAGCCACCAAATTATGGAGTAATAGGAAATGCTCCAAAAAGGGTAGGTTTAGACTGAACATTAGGAAAGAATTTTTCACAGAAAGAGTGGTTGGGCATTGGAATAGGCTGCCCAGGGAGGTGGTTGAGTCACAATCCCTGGATGTGTTTAAGGGACGTTTAGATGTGGTGTTGGGGGCTATGGTGTAGGGGAGAACTTTGTAGAGTAGGGCAGATGATTGGACTCGATCCCAAGGGTCTTTTCCAACCTAGATGATTCTATGATTCTATGAAAAATATCCCAATTTGCAAAGTGCAAAAAATGTGACTCTGTACATGAATTTGCTTTGAGTTACATCCACTGACATTCCTCGTCTTTGGATCAAGCTCCTAAATGGTATTTTTGCCTCGGAGAGTGCATGCCTGCTATTGGGATGCAGGTTTTTTTGGGCCAGCATAGGGAAACTTCTCTATGCAGCCCTGCGTGTCTAAGATTCACCTTTGCCTTTCAGCTCAGATAAAGACTTTACAGGAAACGTGAAGTGATTTAGTGCTGTGCAAAGGAGCCTTTCAAATCTGAACTGAATTTGTAATTGACGTATCTATGAAATATTAAACAACCTGTTAGTGTTTCCGAGCAGGTTACCCACATGAG